TCTATGACAGCTCACTCACACTATATAAAGCAGCTTTATATATATATATTTGTAAATATTTACAATATTCGTTTTCTATACAGGAAAGATTCTTGTAGTATTGTACTGCGTACTTAGGGCTATAGAAGGTAATTTATGGTAGCATCAAGTAATTTATGGTTTATTCAATGTAGTTTACGGTTGGATAAATGTTAGTTATAGTTAAATTCCCAAAATACACAAATGAATCCATATAATTTATGACTGAATCGAGGAATCAAGATATTCAGTTAATCATAAAAAAAAATGAATTCAAGGGCAAACAATTATATTTTTGTGATTAAAAATAGTCGTGTTTCATCTTCCTTATGAACGAGAACTGTTACAGTAAAGCATTGGATCACCAATTGATTTTCTCCGATGGTCGTCACATTCCTCAAGTCAATTTCCAAAATACAGTAGCAACTCTCTGAGCTGATACAACATAAAATACAGTAACCACTCCCTGCTACAACATGACTTATAACCTAACTACATCTATCATCCTCGTGTCCAAGACAGCTTAATAGAAATGAATAAATGACTTTAAATCTCAATATGTCAATATTGAGATTTTTAATATCTCAATATATATAAATCTCAATAGGCAATATAAGGCATATGTAATGCATCTTAGAAATATAGCTATTCCTTGATACATTTTAAAGTTGATAGATAGATCTATCTTCTTTAAAACGATTGAGTCTACTAATTGAGGTAATTTAGAAGTTGTGTATAAGACAAACCTCACGAGTACTTTTTTGATCAACAGATCTACATCAAGACTATTTTGTATATATTAAATTTAACATTTAAATGATTTAAATGTTAAATAATTTAACACTTAAGCATCTGAATTAATTTATTAGTGTCTAGAGTAAATGGAGACGTTTGGCAGAGCTCTGAGTAATCTATGGAAGTAGACGGATCACTGACATGGGTACAGTCCTCTGTCTGTCTGTCTGTCTGTCTGTCTGTCTGTCTGTCTGTCTGTCTTTGTGTGTGTGTGTCTCTCTCTCTCTCTCTCTCTCTCTCTCTCTCTCTCTCTCTCTCTCTCTCTCTCTCTCTCTCTCTCTCTCTCTCTCTCTCTCTCTCTCTCTCTCTCTCTCTTGTTAATATAAAAAACATATATACAGTCAATGTTTATATTCTCCAACTTGAAAATAAAACAATTTAGCCAAATGCTAACAAATATAAAATTACATCGACATTCAAATTAACATCAACACCTCCACATTCGGACACAACCCTTTACAGGTGATTGGTCAGGAAAGACATGACGTCATACAAAAACAAAACTCAGCGTTGCTGATTAGCCAACTGGGGAATGACGTCAGACTGGTCCAAACAGAGAGCAGTTGAGTGGTTAGATTAGCCATGACGTCACGAAGGCTCCCGTTTTCACTAGGTCACGCAGAATATACAGACGTCGGGTCAGCGTGGACTGAACTAGATTAAAAATTGTTTCCTTTCCTTGTGGAAGTTGTGGTCTAGTGGTAAAGTACGCGACTGGCCATGCTGGGGTCGAAGGTTCGCGCCCACCTTTATTTCCAGTGGCTTTTCTCATTGATATCAATCACGTTAATGTGACTTTCTGTGTGATTATACTTATTAATGTAGCAAGTCCACCTCCGAGCAGAAAAAGCTCCCTATGACAGGGATTTTCCATTTGTCATACCCACCTGGGGGTCGAACCCACCTTTATCACGACGGTGATTGGTGTAGAGAGAGAGAGAGAGAGAGAGAGAGAGAGAGAGAGAGAGAGAGAGAGAGAGAGAGAGAGAGAGAGAGAGAGAGAGAGAGAGAGAGAGAGAGAGAGAGAGAGAGAGAGAGAGAGAGAGAGAGAGAGAGAGAGAGAGAGAGAGAGAGAGAGAGAGAGAGAGAGAGAGAGAGAGAGAGAGAGAGAGAGAGAGAGACAGATAGAGAGAGAGAGAGAGAGAGAGAGAGAGAGAGAGAGAGAGAGAGAGAGAGAGAGAGAGAGAGAGAGAGAGAGAGAGAGAGAGAGAGAGAGAGAGAGAGGCGCGACCCCAAGCGTGACTCACAGCTAGGATATGAGACCCTCTGTTCTACGACTCTCCCCCATATGGTGAGCATCTGAACCTATGCACACCACCAGAACAAATGTTTTTTCGTTCCCAAATGCTACTCGGTCTTATTCACGTGGGTTCGGATGCTTTATAAAGGTTTCGAGGACTTATTATTCATGTTCTGAATGCCATATGGCGAGGGTCACAACCCATGAGTCACAGTGACAAAAAACCACTTAATGCTACTGAATTGCTACTCGATCTTATTCATGCCAATTCAGATACTCTGTAGGTGTTTCTCAATGCTATATGCAAGGAGTCAGAACCCATCTGCTAAAGAGGATCCGATACTTTCAGTTATACAATTTGATTTACAGAAATTCAAATAATTAATAACCTTAACTTTATTGACGGGTTTCTGGATGCCATATGAAAGGGATCAGAGGTCCAGCACTCAAGAGAATCTGATGCTATTAGGTTCTATTTATATGGATTCAAAGACTCTATAGAGATCTCTGACTTTTAGTTCAGGGGAACTAAGTATCAGGGAACAAAAAGAGCTTCACACTAACAACATCTAATGTGTCTATCCCTAAAACAAAATTTGAATGAAATTAGATTCAGGAAATCCCTGGGTAAATACTGGTTTCAATTAAGGAAGGACCTGGGTAAATACTGGTTTAGAGCCAAAAAGACATGGTTTGAAGACGATTGTTGATTTATGGTATAAATTACCATGCATAATAGACGTGGGATCCCTTGTTTGTTTCAAGCGATCACATACCAGGTCAACCAGGCTGTTATTCATACGTCAGGCTGCGAGCAGCCGCGTCCAACAGCCTGGTTGACCAGTCTAGCAACGCGGAGGCCTGGTCGACAACCGGGCCGCGGGAACGCTAAGCCCCGAAAACACCTCAAGGTAACCTCAAGAAATTGAGGATAGACATTGGAGCTGCCTCGTATGGGCCAATAGGCCTTCTGCAATCTCCTTGTTATCTTTATATTCACCGATAAACGCATTGGTTTGAATTTCCGTTATCTGGCAAATGAGTATTTATGTTTATGAAGGTCCCTCTTAAGCCAGCTACTGACCATCCTCAGCATGCAACCCACAGCAGTTCTCTAACTCACAGGGATCTATTTACCGCAAGGTGAGCAGGTCCAGTGAGTTTAAGGACATTTACTAAACGTCTCGCCCTGACGTGAGACTCTAACCCGGGTCTACCTGGAGGCGAGAAGACTGCAGGGATGATGACGCTACTAAACAGGTTTCACTTTACAGACATTGTGGAGGTTGAGAATGTGAACCTGGTCCGGAGCGTCGCTCTGTATGGTGTAAGTCAGGATTACGATATGTCCTTTTTGACCTCACATTCCATACTTTGGAGTCTTCAGATAATTTTGATATCATAAATTTTGTTTAAAATCCAAATATATCTTTTTGTCTTAGTGTTTATTAATTCTAAATTTAATATTTTTGGCGGTTCAACCAACCCATCTCATTCTGTACATTTTGGTTCCTAACATATAGGTGGAGAAATAAATTAAAAATTAGCGCTTTACATATATCCCATTTTCTGTGCGACGGTAGGTTATATCAGAGGAGGGGGAGCTGTTTTATACTTGCTGGTTGGTTTGTAAGATCTTGTGGCGTCGTTAACAAACCCTCCAGAGGTTGAAAGGCCTTAAACCCAACACCAAACTATCCACATACACTTGAACAAATCCACTAGGGCCGTGACGAGGATTCGAACATGCGTCTGAGAGCATCCCAGACTCGACATTAGAGCCTTAATCGACATTTGATGCATCACGCAATTGTGATTTCTGTGTGTCTATATACATTTGTCTGTTATATAATATAAAGCTACTAGTCTTGCTGGATTTCAAGTGTAATTCCTTCTCTGACCCTCAAGTGTAACTTGCAGGTCAGAGAAGAATCCACTGAAGCGCTAATTTATAACTTCTCATAAAGAACTCAAGGGAAGAGGTTTTCAAGAATAGATGTTGTTGTTGATATAGATTCAGCTACTGGGAACAAACAGTTCCAAGTAGCACGGGCTATGGTGAGCCCGTAGATGACCTGTATCAGTATACTATTTTATACTAGTTTTACTGTACACTTAACCTGCTATCTACTCTATGCAAGAAGGCAACCTGTCCTTAAACAACTAGTCAAATGCTTACTAATCCATTGAGATCAATGGAAACACCACCATCAACACTGATCAATCCTCATCATAAAGGGCCAAATTGTTCAGTCCACTGACCACTAACCCCCCCCCCCCCCCCACCTCACTGTGTATGAATGAACAGCACTTCACACGACTCACAATTGATGACGTCCGAATACTTCACCATCACGGCGTCGCTGACGATGTCTGTTGATGAATCAGGTCATTGGAGTGACGAATTGACGAATGAGGTAGTGATACTGCCCAATCACCTCCCTCTAAATGCTACAAGTAGAAATAACAGCCAATAGAAGCTAAACACCTAACTTAACCTAACCTAAATATGCACATTATGCATATATAAATCTAATATTATTAATTTGTATATGATAATGTGTCTATGGGGTCGGTTGCTGGGTGGAATGAACACAGTTTAAGGGTAAATTGAATCCATCTTTGGGGTCGTCTGCTGGATGGAAGAGCAGAGGAAGCCTCACATTCCGTGCTGGAAGCCTTATACAATGAAAAATTTTTCCTGTTTAAAGAATTTAATGCCTTAATCTGAGCTGATAAGTCCAGATATTGCTACTTCATTAAAGATTATCAATATTATTATCATTACCATTCTAGGAGAGCAGCAACACACCAGCAGTGTTAAGTCTAACCTTACTGCGGCACTCGCGGTAATTATGTTCCTTAAACCTTTCACAAATACACAGCCGCTTGAAGCGAAAATAAACCCCCGTTAAACTCTCCAAGGTAAACATTGGACCTGACTCACCACGCACTAAGTTTAGTGCTTGTTCCACTAAGTTTAGTGCTCCTTCCACTAAGTTTAGTGCTTGTTCCACTAAGTTTAGTGTTTCTTCTACTAAGTTTAGTGCTTGTTCTACTAAGTTTAGTGCTCCTTCCACTAAGTTTAGTGCTCCTTCCACTAAGTTTAGTGCTTGTTCCACTAAGTTTAGTGCTTGTTCCACTAAGTTTAGTGCTCCTTCCACTAAGTTTAGTGCTTGTTCCACTAAGTTTAGTGTTTCTTCTACTAAGTTTAGTGCTTGTTCTACTAAGTTTAGTGCTCCTTCCACTAAGTTTAGTGCTCCTTCCACTAAGTTTAGTGCTTGTTCCACTAAGTTTAGTGCTTGTTCCACTAAGTTTAGTGCTCCTTCCACTAAGTTTAGTGCTCCTTCCACTAAGTTTAGTGCTTCTTCCACTAAGTTTAGTGCTTCTTCCACTAAGTTTAGTGCTTGTTCCACTAAGTTTAGTGCTTGTTCCACTAAGTTTAGTGCTTGTTCCACTAAGTTTAGTGCTTGTTCCACTAAGTTTAGTGCTTGTTCCACTAAGTTTAGTGTTTCTTCTACTAAGTTTAGTGCTTGTTCTACTAAGTTTAGTGCTTGTTCCACTAAGTTTAGTGCTTGTTCCACTAAGTTTAGTGCTTGTTCCACTAAGTTTAGTGCTCCTTCCACTAAGTTTAGTGCTTTTTCTACTAAGTTGAGTGCTTGTTCTACTAAGTTTAGTGCTTGTTCCACTAAGTTTAGTGCTTGTTCCACTAAGTTTAGTGCTTGTTCCACTAAGTTTAGTGCTTGTTCCACTAAGTTTAGTGCTTGTTCCACTAAGTTGAGTGCTTGTTCTACTAAGTTTAGTGCTTGTTCCACTAAGTTTAGTGCTTGTTCCACTAAGTTTAGTGCTTGTTCCACTAAGTTTAGTGCTTGTTCCACTAAGTTTAGTGCTTGTTCCACTAAGTTTAGTGCTTGTTCCACTAAGTTTAGTGCTCCTTCCACTAAGTTTAGTGCTCCTTCCACTAAGTTTAGTGCTTCTTCCACTAAGTTTAGTGCTCCTTCCACTAAGTTTAGTGCTTCTTCCACTAAGTTTAGTGCTCCTTCCACTAAGTTTAGTGCTTCTTCCACTAAGTTTAGTGCTCCTTCCACTAAGTTTAGTGCTTGTTCCACTAAGTTTAGTGCTTGTTCCACTAAGTTTAGTGCTTGTTCCACTAAGTTTAGTGCTTGTTCCACTAAGTTTAGTGCATGTTCCACTAAGTTTAGTGCTTGTTCCACTAAGTTTAGTGCTTGTTCCACTAAGTTTAGTGCTTGTTCCACTAAGTTTAGTGCTTGTTCCACTAAGTTTAGTGCTTGTTCCACTAAGTTTAGTGCTTGTTCCACTAAGTTTAGTGCTTGTTCCACTAAGTTTAGTGCTTGTTCCACTAAGTTTAGTGCTTGTTCCACTACGTTTCACTACATCTGGAGGCGTAGGTATTAATGTGCGTTCATTTTATTATTTATAAATTGAGATTTAGGCTTCAGGAAATTGATTACGGGTGATAATCGAATTTTTTTTCGAGTAATTCATTCCGGAAGTGATGCCCATACCCCCGGTGCCCAGTACCCCCGGTGCCCAGTACCCCTGGGGGACGGGGGGCAGCATACCCCCGGTGCCCAGTACCCCTGGGGGACGGGGGGCACCATACCCCCGGTGCCCAGTACCCCTGGGGGACGGAGGGCAGCATACCCCAGGTGCCCAGTACCCCTGGGGGACGGGGGGCACCATACCCCCGGTGCCCAGTACCCCTGGGGGACGGGGGGCACCATACCCCCGGTGCCCAGTACCCCTGGGGGACGGAGGGCAGCATACCCCAGGTGCCCAGTACCCCTGGGGGACGGGGGGCACCATACCCCCGGTGCCCAGTACCCCTGGGGGACGGAGGGCAGCATACCCCAGGTGCCCAGTACCCCTGGGGGACGGGGGGCAGCATACCCCAGGTGCCCAGTACCCCTGGGGGACGGGGGGCAGCATACCCCAGGTGCCCAGTACCCCTGGGGGACGGGGGGCAGCATACCCCCGGTGCCCAGTACCCCTGGGGGACGGGGGGCACCATACCCCCGGTGCCCAGTACCCCTGGGGGACGGGGGGCACCATACCCCAGGTGCCCAGTACCCCTGGGGGACGGGGGGCACCATACCCCAGGTGCCCAGTACCCCCGGGGCAAGGAGACAAGGATCTAGTTAACGTCAAGTCATCAGTTAGTTTCCATATAACTAAAAAAAATCAGTTTCAAGTCGTTAGTCACTACGGGCTCACCTTAGACCGTGCTACTTGGAACTTTTTGAAGTTCTTGTGATATCTTAGACTGTGATGACACGCCTTCTGGGGAGTGGCGCTGTAACTAGACTTTTCAGGCAGCTTTGTCATATATATAGAGCCGCCTGGCGGAAAATAGGACCGGGGTTCGAATCCCTGGCAGCGAGGAGCTCGAGTACGAATATAGAAAGAAAATGACTCGATGGGTGAGAAGAGAGAGTCTCCAAGACTTAAGAGTCTCCAAGACTTAAGTCTCCAAGACTTAAGAGTCTCCAAGACTTAAGTCTCCAAGACTTAAGTCTCCAAGACTTAAGTCTCCAAGACTTAAGTCTCCAAGACTTAAGTCTCCAAGACTTAAGTCTCCAAGACTTAAGTCTCCAAGACTTAAGTCTCCAAGACTTAAGAGTCTCCAAGACTTAAGAGTCTCCAAGACTTAAAGTCTCCAAGACTTAAGTCTCCAAGACTTAAGTCTTCAAGACTTAAGTCTCCAAGACTTAAGTCTCCAAGACTTAAGTCTCCAAGCCTTAAGAGTCTCCAAGACTTAAGAGTCTCCAAGACTTAAGAGTCTCCAAGACTTAAGTCTCCAAGACTTAAGTCTCCAAGACTTCAGTCTCCAAGACTTAAGTCTCCAAGCCTTAAGAGTCTCCAAGCCTTAAGAGTCTCCAAGCCTTAAGAGTCTCCAAGCCTTAAGAGTCTCCAAGCCTTAAGAGTCTCCAAGACTTAAGAGTCTCCAAGACTTAAGTCTCCAAGCCTTAAGAGTCTCCAAGCCTTAAGAGTCTCCAAGCCTTAAGAGTCTCCAAGACTTAAGAGTCTCCAAGCCTTAAGAGTCTCCAAGCCTTAAGAGTCTCCAAGCCTTAAGAGTCTCCAAGACTTAAGAGTCTCCAAGCCTTAAGTCTCCAAGCCTTAAGAGTCTCCAAGCCTTAAGAGTCTCCAAGACTTAAGAGTCTCCAAGCCTTAAGAGTCTCCAAGCCTTAAGAGTCTCCAAGCCTTAAGAGTCTCCAAGCCTTAAGAGTCTCCAAGACTTAAGAGTCTCCAAGCCTTAAGAGTCTCCAAGACTTAAGAGTCTCCAAGCCTTAAGAGTCTCCAAGCCTTAAGAGTCTCCAAGCCTTAAGAGTCTCCAAGACTTAAGAGTCTCCAAGCCTTAAGTCTCCAAGCCTTAAGAGTCTCCAAGCCTTAAGAGTCTCCAAGACTTAAGAGTCTCCAAGCCTTAAGAGTCTCCAAGCCTTAAGAGTCTCCAAGCCTTAAGAGTCTCCAAGACTTAAGAGTCTCCAAGACTTAAGTCTCCAAGCCTTAAGAGTCTCCAAGCCTTAAGAGTCTCCAAGCCTTAAGAGTCTCCAAGCCTTAAGAGTCTCCAAGCCTTAAGAGTCTCCAAGCCTTAAGAGTCTCCAAGACTTAAGAGTCTCCAAGACTTAAGAGTCTCCAAGACTTAAGTCTCCAAGACTTAAGTCTCCAAGACTTAAGTCTCCAAGACTTAAGTCTCCAAGACTTAAGAGTCTCCAAGACTTAAGTCTCCAAGACTTAAGAGTCTCCAAGACTTAAGTCTCCAAGACTTAAGTCTCCAAGACTTAAAGTCTCCAAGACTTAAGAGTCTCCAAGACTTAAGAGTCTCCAAGACTTAAAGTCTCCAAGACTTAAGTCTCCAAGACTTAAGTCTCCAAGACTTAAGTCTCCAAGACTTAAGTCTCCAAGACTTAAGTCTCCAAGCCTTAAGAGTCTCCAAGACTTAAGAGTCTCCAAGACTTAAGAGTCTCCAAGACTTAAGTCTCCAAGACTTAAGTCTCCAAGACTTCAGTCTCCAAGACTTAAGTCTCCAAGCCTTAAGAGTCTCCAAGCCTTAAGAGTCTCCAAGCCTTAAGAGTCTCCAAGCCTTAAGAGTCTCCAAGCCTTAAGAGTCTCCAAGACTTAAGAGTCTCCAAGACTTAAGTCTCCAAGCCTTAAGAGTCTCCAAGCCTTAAGAGTCTCCAAGCCTTAAGAGTCTCCAAGACTTAAGAGTCTCCAAGCCTTAAGAGTCTCCAAGCCTTAAGAGTCTCCAAGCCTTAAGAGTCTCCAAGACTTAAGAGTCTCCAAGCCTTAAGTCTCCAAGCCTTAAGAGTCTCCAAGCCTTAAGAGTCTCCAAGACTTAAGAGTCTCCAAGCCTTAAGAGTCTCCAAGCCTTAAGAGTCTCCAAGCCTTAAGAGTCTCCAAGCCTTAAGAGTCTCCAAGACTTAAGAGTCTCCAAGCCTTAAGAGTCTCCAAGACTTAAGAGTCTCCAAGCCTTAAGAGTCTCCAAGCCTTAAGAGTCTCCAAGCCTTAAGAGTCTCCAAGACTTAAGAGTCTCCAAGCCTTAAGTCTCCAAGCCTTAAGAGTCTCCAAGCCTTAAGAGTCTCCAAGACTTAAGAGTCTCCAAGCCTTAAGAGTCTCCAAGCCTTAAGAGTCTCCAAGCCTTAAGAGTCTCCAAGACTTAAGAGTCTCCAAGACTTAAGTCTCCAAGCCTTAAGAGTCTCCAAGCCTTAAGAGTCTCCAAGCCTTAAGAGTCTCCAAGCCTTAAGAGTCTCCAAGCCTTAAGAGTCTCCAAGCCTTAAGAGTCTCCAAGACTTAAGAGTCTCCAAGACTTAAGAGTCTCCAAGACTTAAGTCTCCAAGACTTAAGTCTCCAAGACTTAAGTCTCCAAGACTTAAGTCTCCAAGACTTAAGAGTCTCCAAGACTTAAGTCTCCAAGACTTAAGAGTCTCCAAGACTTAAGTCTCCAAGACTTAAGTCTCCAAGACTTAAAGTCTCCAAGACTTAAGAGTCTCCAAGACTTAAGAGTCTCCAAGACTTAAGAGTCTCCAAGACTTAAGAGTCTCCAAGACTTAAAGAGTCTCCAAGACTTAAGAGTCCCCAAGGCTTTCTCCCAGTGGTGGCAGAAACAAAATGGGCAGAGTTTCTTTCACCCTAATGCTTCTGTTCACCTAGCATTAAATAGGTACCTGGGAGTTAGTCAGCTGTTACTGGGGTGTGTGTGTGAAAAAAGTAGTTAGTAACAGTTGATTGATTGACAGTTGAGAGGCGGGACCAAAGAGCCAGAGCTCAACCCCCGCAAACACAACTTGGTTATCTTGAGGTTATCTTGAGATGATTTCGGGGCTTTAGTGTCCCCGCGGCCCGGTCCTCGACCAGGCCTCCACCCCCAGGAAGCAGCCCGTGACAGCTGACTAACTCCCAGTGTAACACTGTAAAAGTGTTTGGGTTAGTTTATTTAAAATATATATAGAGTACACGAGTCACAGACAAGGATCTGAGAGGCGCCAGTTGTCTGCCTGAGATCTCACACCTCTAACCGTTAATGACCTCAAGTGACCTGAGGTCAGATCATGACAATTTCACCTTGCTTCCGCTAAGCTGATAATTGTAGTCTGGTAGCCTTCAAACATGCCGACGTTTAAGGAGTGGCTTGGTAGTGCCGGAGGCTATCTATTTGTGGGCGGAGTTAGCTACTAGGTTCCCCAATAAATACTCGGAGAACTATCGAGCAGAGAGCATTGACAGACAGAACAGCATCAAGAGAAGAGCAGACGAGAGCAGAGACGACGTCCCTATCAGGGAGGCTGTCGGCCGGCAAGGGCGGGAGTCTCTGTCAACTACAGACCCCCCCCCCCTCTCTATTCAACTTAGACTCAGTACTCGGTGAGTGAACATTAAGGTGACTTGGTCGTGTTTACATATGTTGTGTGATGATCAGGGGCAGTCAAGTTGTAGGGTTCTCGAATTCTTGGATGATGACTCACTTTGCATATTAAACTGGAACATTTTAATTGAATTGCTAAATTATGATACTTCATGTGAAATATAATTATGAATTTATTATTTAAATTGTGTTTAACTTTGTTCCCTAGAGCTTTGAGTTGAGGATTTGAGAAAGCCTCTGTGGTTACTGGGTTCATGATATAAATGAGTACATGTTTGGAGTTGATACATGGTACAGAGGGAACATACTAATAATGAACTCATGATAACATCCTTTGAGAATTTTGTGATACAGGCAAGTTCCATTCCTTGTCTTGTATGTAATGATCATGAATGGATGGTGGCAGCATTTCGTCTTCTACTATCTACTCTTCTACTTCTACTATCTACTCTTCTACTTCTACCTATCTACACCTCTCCCTCCACCCTTCTCTAAACTCTCACTTTCAACTAATGACCCTTCTCGCTCCTCCCACCTCTCTGCCTCTCACCCCAAAACCTCACTAATTACTTCACTATTCATTTCTTTCCTTTCGTTTTCACTTATACGTTTGTGGCAATGATTCTGTATTCTAGAGTTCTCTCTAGAGTTTCGGGTAGCTGATCCAGTTACGGCGCCTTGTAGTCTTAGCACCTAGGTA